GCTTTGGTACCAGTTTGCGGGCTGGCTCACCGATTTGCGAGTGGGTGTCATCTTTCCTAATCTCGGTGGGGACCTACAGCTCGTGTTGTGCGTCGGGACTCTTTACAAGGGGGTGGGCTATGGAAGTTAAGCTCTGCTCGTTGGGACCTTTTATAAATATTTGAGCGGATATGGACCCTCATTGTGATGGTCCTCTGCCAATACCTTGCTCCCTTGCTCGCTGGTATTGATGGAGACCATGGTCCAATTACACTAGTGGATTTCGGTACCAAGCAGCATCTGTCTAGCTGTGAGGACCCAGTTGGTCCTCAAACTAATTTCCATCAGTCGAGTGGCGTGGTATGCTGGTATAACAGGTACTGTCCAATTGGGGCGATAGCGTTCCTTCTTTCGGGGGGGGGGGGAATACTTGTTCCTTCCTCGTATGGGCCCACTACTTCGGGTGGGGGCACTTACTGGTTTCACAGGCTCATCAGTTCTGAGTGGGTGAGTTAGGTCGGGAACCCCTTCCATCGGGGCCATGAGAGTTGGTGCCTTCTGCAAAGGGTCCTGGCTATGTTTGATTGTCACCTTACCAAGGTTGACTCGACGCTCGCAGGTGGATCTACAGCGTCAAGGTGTACGAGTTTGGGACAAGTGAGCTCCTCGGTATGCTTTGAAATGGGAGGTTCCTTGGCTCTGTTACGCGAGGTGGAGTGGTGAATGAGGGACCGCGATGTTGGGGTCGAGTAAGAGTTCAATGTAAGGGACTGCAGCGTGGTCCTGGATTCTCGTTGTAGGTGGGGACCCACAGTGTCATCGGTCTGGGACCTCTTGGGAGAAGGAGGCCCGGGGCCTACTACTTTGGTGAGAAAGGTGTGCAATATATGCCTCTAGTGTAAATGTATCTGTTGCATCAGGACTCGCAGTCATCGGGACCCTGCTTCGTGACCCTTTTAGATAGTGGGCCCAACAGCATGGTAGTGGGGTCCTGCTGGTGAGTGTGAACCTACTACGAAGTGAGCTCAGGTCACACTTTGGGTGGGGTGCTTCCCTATTTTAGGGCTTACAAATTGTTTTTAGGACCATGTCATAGTCTAGTGGAGGTGTGGAGACTAGTGGGACCACTGCACTGGGATATTGGGTTGAAGCACATGATGTACTATGAGTGTTGTCGGAGGTGGGCCCACCCAAGAGAGGCAATGCGATTTGAGGAAGTAGTGCGGTGCCCCATGTATGACTAAGAGAACATTGTATTGGGGAATTGATGACAGCTCAATCACTTACTGGTAACAATAGTGGTATAATAACTCATACTCGTATCTCGGTTGTCTAAAAATAAAATTTCAAATTATGACTCTGGAAACAAGCTCACCAATATTAACTGTGAAGTATGGGGGAAGGGTATACCTCTGGATTCTTGGGCAGAAGAACAGAACAGTTGAAACCTTGTCTCGACATGAGCACCAGGCTAGGCATCGGGCATTATAGGCGAGAACATTGGGGAGACGGCGAGACCAGATAGATTCACAATCAGGCTCGAGTCCTACCAAAGGATGAGATCTGCAATATAATTTGTGGGTAAATTCCAACAACCCTAACCTGGGAATCGTTCATCATTTACTTACTCTGAAATATTTTCTGGTTGTACCACTACAGCTCCTCGACGAGAGTACAGGACTACAAGCCAAACAGATGATCTTTGATGGAAAGGCACGAGTATGTTACTTAGTGAAGAGTTGATAATTCAGGGATAGTATTCTGAAATTCCCGGACTTGCTCACTCAGCCAGAGATAATCTTTCGTAACTTTTTGAGAGCCCGATAGTCCATTGACAATCATCTATAAGTGTGAATCTGTGTTGTAGGTTGTGCTATCGCAGACTTTCAAGCCTTGTGTGGTACGAAGGGTCCAACCTGGAGCCCAATCTATGACACTCGCCGAGAGAGATTCTCTCTCTGCCTTGTTTTTGGGTGGTCCCTAGTAGTTTTGCGGCCTGCTGGACAGTCGTCGGTGGGTTTGGGGTCGTGCATAAGCTTGGCGTTTGGTTTTCAAGGTTTCGTTTGGGCCACGGCTGCTCGTGGTACCGCCGGCCCAGCTTGGGGACCCTGTGTGCCAAGGGAGTCTAATTTGGATGGTAAAGTTGCGTCAACCAAGTATATGGAGGTTGTCCTCAAGTTTTGTCTCCATTTCACAGGCCGATTATTGGCTCCCTTGGGTATGTTAGTTGGAAGCTACCCTATAGCTTCGTCGGGACCATGCCCTACCGGTGGGTGTGCCGAAGAAGTGTGTGAAGGTTACAAGCTGAGTTTAGATGTTCTCAATCGGATTGCTTAAGTTTGCGGCTGTACCCACAGCGCCTTTCTTGGGTTCACATGAATGCAAGCTGTGGGAATGTATGAACTCGCCGATATGAAGTCTCTTTTCTGTTGGGACCCGGAATATTCGAATCCTTCTTCTGAACCCCATTTGAGGGCAGGTGAGGCGTTGTAGGGCAGGTCTCAGATTTGCATATCGGGACCTCCAGAGCTTCGGAACTATTGCCAGTGGTCCCATGTTTGAGTATGGTGGAAGTTTCAAACTTGGCCACGAGGTGGGAGAGATATTCGTTTGGAGCACACGATGTATGTGTGATGGTTTAGGTGGGACCACCCACAACAGTCGTTGCAACTAGAAGTGATAGCGGGGTTCCTCATGTAATACTAATATAACAGGGTACTTTGTATTGAGGAAATCAACCCTCATTCACTTAAATATCAGACTAATACGCATACCTCGTTTCTCCGGATGAATATTTCAAATATATCGGTCTGGAAATATTCTTTGGGATGTGCTCGACCGTATCTCTCAAGTATGATACATAATGAAAGGTGATCCCTTGCTTCATTGAAAGCCTCGTGGATCTCAGTTACTTACTGATTTGAGCAGTTAAAGATACGGGAATGATTATCTCAAATTCCCCGAGTCTCACTTTGGGCCAGTAGGAATGAAGAACGAATAATAAAAAAGAATTTTCCTGTCTACATGATACTGAATATTACACAATGAGGCACTCGGAGGGTATGAGGGGGGACCTGCTAGGGATGAGGGGAGGGGAGATGTGAATGTGTTTGCCATTTAGCTCGCCGAGTTCGTATCATTGTCTTTCATCTGAGTGGGCGGCGTCGGGACCCTTTCTTCGGGACCCTTTTATGAGGATGGGACCGAGCTGTGAAAACACTGGGATGATATAAGATCAGTGAGCGGTGTATTGGTATGAGCTCACCGAGGTCGGGTGTGTTCTAAGTTTGCCTCGGGACCCTTTCTTCGGGACCCTTTTATTACGATGGGACTGGGCTGTGAAAACACTTGCGTGATATAAGGTCAGCGAGCGGTGTATTGGTATGAGCTCACCGAGGTTGGGTGTCCTTAAGTTTGCGTCGGGACCCTTTCTTCGGGACCCTTTCTTCGGGACCCTTTTATGAGGATGGGATCGAGCTGTGAAAACACTGGCTTGATATAAGGTCAGCGAGCGGTGTATTGGTATGAGCTCACCGAGGTCAGGCGTCCTTCAAGTTTGCGTCGGGACCCTTTCTTCGTGACTCTTTCTTCGTGACCCTTTCTTCGGGACCCTTTTATGAGGATGGGATCGAGCTGTGAAAACACCGGCATGATATAAGGTGAGCGAGCGGTGTGTTGGTAACTAGGTCACAGAGCTACTTATAAATATTTTACAACCGATAGGTGTTCCATCAGGCAATTTCTCCTACCTCCTGGCCAATACCAATACCAGTTACCTTGTTCCGATACCTCTCACCTGCTTCCGATGCCAGTCACCTCTTCCCGATGACAGTCGTGTCACCAAGAAAAATGCTCTTCCTTCCGTATGAGTTCCACCTCAACAAGTACCGGTTCGACAATTGTACAAAGGTCTGATCAATGGGATGCTCATCAAGCAGACATCCGGAATATCCGAAGTGTCCATCGGATGGGATACCCATTCGATGGATGTCCGGTGAATGAGTAGCATCCGCGAATGGGACTGAACAGCTACAAGCCAATCGTTTCTTGAGGTTTGAAATTTCCTTGCTCTGCACAATGTAGGTGTGGAGTAAGTCTTGGGGAATGCTTTGAAGTTGGGATTCGATTTTGGCAGTGACGTTGGGTGAGGACCGGGCTTGGTGGTCGGCATGTTCCTTTTATTCTGGTTGGGTGTCTTGAGTTCTGTCCATTTTCTGAAGGACGAGAAGAGTTAAAAGAAGGTAGTTATAGGGTGCGCATGTAGGACTGTAGGAGTTAGACGGTTGTATGGCAGAGGTAAGAGGGAAAGAAAGGTAGAACCAGTTCAAATAGAACAGGTTAGAAGCCAGCGTTTTTGGTTTGACTTCGTGTCCAATAAAGATTGTTTGTTGTGGATTAGTTGGTTGCCGGGAGAAAGTACGTTGCTTTAAGAGTATGTATCTTCTGTATGACTGGCGCAGGCTGTGGACACGTTGTTAATCTTTAACCTATGTGTTTTTTCTGGCGCAGTTTAAAGTATGGTACTTGACACTTAACGGTTTTGAGTAAACATACTTTGATAATTGTAGCAGTAGAGGCCAAATTCTTGCGTGTATCATAAACACCTTTTCCAGCTTAGAGGGTAAGCTTAGGTTTGCTCAATGTTTTACGCATTTTTATGAGTGAAGGTTGGTGCTTAGTCATTTCCCTATTTTAATGTTTTCTACGGATTCCATGTACCTCGAAGCAACTTCTAGCGTTGAAGAGTCAGCTTACTTTGAATAATCTAAAAGATAGAAGCTTGAAGGAATCATTCTGCATTGAGTGAAGCTACTACTAAAACGGGCAGAGCCCTGGAACTACGGGAAAACTAATAACATAATGGCCGACAAAAACAAAGTAAACGAGATCCCCACTATCTGTATCTTACGGGTATAGGTCTCAATCCCCAACATTTGCACGACGAGGAAGCTCGGGCAAAATCTCGCTGACCCAACCAATAATCTGTGGCGCTCGGAAGCTTATCTTCATCCCCGTTGCGGTTACTTCCATTCTGTGGCTTGTACTCTTGTTTCCGGTCTTAACATGAGTACTATATTGTGGAAGAATGTTAGTAACACTGTATCCCATGCGGGTAATCAGCTCATTAGCGTACCTTGCACTGACAAAGGGACCGTAGCCAACATTGGCGTTGGAGTCGGTGGACAGGCTGATGCCAACACCTCAGCATCTGACCTTGAGCACTTTATCTATAGATTTTTAGTTGGGAAGCTGTTGCAGTATCTTTACTAAACTCACTTCAAGCTCAGTATCAGCTGCTACAACGAATGCAGTTGGATACCATGGAAAGGTTCCATAGGCGCTCAATTCAGGTTCCCTTCCATTGTCCAACCAATCTTTCAACTCCTGGGGACCCGGGCTCAGTCTAACACCGGCAGTTAGCAACCGAATGTAATATGTTAGAAGGGTTTTACTAACTTGTTTGTTGTGGGCGTATCAATATCAGTGTCCTCGAATAACTCGCCATGAAGCCTAATAATTGTCAACAACCCTCGCTCCCCCCCCCCCAATGGGTAGGTCTCTTCCTACCAAGGTCGATTGATCTGCACTAGCATCGTAGAACTAAACATTGTTAGAGCTCAATGTCGGGGGGAATAGGATGCATCTGGGGAACCTACAAGGTACCGGTGACCGAACTTTCTTCCATCGTTTTCGACAATTTTCTGTTACGCACAAAAGGTTAGAACCGGCAGCACAACACGATTCCACAGAGGGGTGGAAAGAAAACTTACTGTCTAGCAGAAGATACATCTGTACCTCCTCCTCCTGAAAACATCCCATAATTAACTTCCACCTTGGCCTGGACAGAAAGACTTGCCTCCTCCGAGCTCTCGGCTGATTTCATTGCCGACGCGCTGAAGGAAATTGTCGTCCATGGATCCGCAATCTCGTCCGGCTTCTCCTCCGTTGGAGCAAGAGCAGCTTTGACGAAGTCACTTACCTCTGGCTTGCCCTCCACCGGTACATACACATCCTTGCCATTGTTCTTAACCTTCTCTATACTGGTGATTACCTTGATTCGCTCTGCGGCCGGTCTGGGGCTGGTCAAGCTTAACTCTAGCTGGCGGATCTCATCCTGCCGCTCGGCAATCATTCCCTGAAGAGTCCTTTTTAATTGACCAGAACTGCCGGCAACCATCTTGGCAACTATCTCCTTTTCCTTTTCTATATTTTTGTCAAGAAGCTCTCCGATGGCTTTACTCTTCTCCAGAACGTCTGTTTTTTTCGCATCCTGAGTTTTAGGATCCGAGGTTTTGTACTCATTTGCGGCCTCGACAACCTCTTTGTAGGCCGCGATTTCAGCCTCTGTCTCCGGGGTATCAGCTTCTGGGTGCTCCTCGGCCTCTTGTACCAAAACAGCCGACCTGGCCCTTTCAAGTCTTTCCTGTATCCCTTCAATCTCTTCGTCGGATTCCTTCTCAGCCTTTGCAGCATCCAACTCTTCTTGGATCGTCTTAAGCGCCGCCCGGAGGTCCACAAGCTTTTGACTAGGTTTCGGTTCATTCGCCTCGTTCAATACCTGTGCTGGCTCTGGGTTTTTTCCGGCATGCTCGTTGGCCCATTCCAAATTTCCTTTCAAAGCCACTACTATTTTTTTGAGTCTGGTAATCTCCATCTGGATAATTGCAGGTGACAGAGGATTTCGGGATGCCCAGCTTTTAGACTTATTCGCACACAACACCGCCCTGTTTCACCAATCAGACATTGATGCCGTGAAATCCTGATTGGTACTATACTACTCACCAGTTCTCCGGAGACAGAGTCACTCTCGGCCATTCTGTGCCGTCGTCAATATCACTAATAGTCGCTCTTCTTAGTGCCGCCTGCGATATAGTGTTAGTCCACCAACACAATCGCTTCAGTACCATAGATTACTGCCTTACCTTGGCCATCTCGATGCGACTCATGATAGTTGTGGTGTCGACAACGGCTGATACACCAATGAGATTGCTGCAGCGGATATGGAAAGGGAACATAACTCACCAAAGTGATGATCGATCATTGTCTTATGACCGTTAATTACCCAGTCCATCCAAGCGGCTTGAAGTTTGTCGTTTGCCTGTGACAATTAGATAATGCCGATTTGGTCTGAGGCACCAAACTTACTCTCTTCATTTCGGAAGTTGCAATCGCCAGTTCATCGGCATTCATCCCAGCTTTGGATTTTGCAGCCCCTGGTGAAACGTCAGTGTCGATATCGCCCCCAGAGATGTCGGAGGGGCTACACACCGGCATTCTTGATGAGAACACCCTCTAGAATGGATTGGGCTCTAGCATAAGCAGTCTGTTTCTCAATATATACATCGACGATTGTACGTCCGCTTGTATTCACGGGGGCCGGCGACCGGAGGTAGCTCATGGCGGCGTTATATTTGGAACCAGATTTATATTTGGTGGTAGCGGCACTTGTTTCTACTGGTACGTGAGCAATTCGTACATATCTAATAGAAGAGACGGTTCCAGACCATCGGACTCCAGATGCTCCAGATCAAGGCCTGAGTTTGCAGGAACCAGGTGGTCAAGGGCCGAGAGATAGCTCCGGGAAACGCTTTTCCCGCTAGGGCCCAACTACTCCCCTGGGTAAGTATTGCAACATGTAGTTGAAGAGTTAAGAGCTACCATCACAGTGCTAAGCGGCACCATTGAGTCAACAAGCTTGGCTTCATTGACCTTTCTCTTGTTATCCCCGCTGGCACTATACGTCGTTTGGGGGACGAACCTACGGCGTACAAGGTTAGTCTAAACAAGAACTGGACTTTTAACAAGAGGATTTGCCTACTCTCCACCAGGAGTTGTATCAATGATACGTCCGGGCATCGAGATCGTCAGAAATTGGTCCCTCGCAGTGGGAAGCGATGCTACGATCGCTTTCCTGATTTGGAGAGCGAGCTTCCCGAGTTGGTTATTCTGCGCCGATGGATCCATGGTGGGTATGATAGAAAGAGATCAGATAGAGTGACGTTCTTGAAGAAAAAGAGATGTATAATAAATACCGATAGGTAACGAGCTCCCATTCTCTATTTAGCACGTCTCCCGAAGCTTTATATACGATTTCCAGGGAGACTTCAATCCTTGGCAGGACTTTCGCTAGCTGTTAGTGACAGACTCCCAATCCGGTGATACGTGGATGCGTGCCTGGCATCACAGGTTGTTTTAGGTGAAATACGTTCGTTACTGGACATGCAGAGGTGTTGTGGGCTTCATTGGCTAGGCACTATGGCAACGACGGTTAGGGCCGCAGCTAGCGATACACTATTCCTCGATGGTTGATTATTTAGTACCAGACCCCGCAATGGGTGAACCAGGGTTGGATTGAGGCCTCACCCAACCCACCCGCGTTATAAATGGTCTTACCCAACACAACCTACCATACCCGGGTTATCCACAGTGGATAAATCGGTACAAAAACCTCCCTAGTGATGGATGGAGAGGGCTTTTTTATGTAATGGGTTAGGGTTATGATACCACTTTTTTGTGTATTCTTCCCTTCTCTATGTGATCATAGCGTATCACTCAGCCCATGGGTTACCCAGGTAAGGATCTGCTTGCACCCAACCCAACCCAAGTTAATTTACCCAGGTACCCAAATAACCCATCACCTGTTGTGGGGTCTGTTTAGTACCAGCTGAATATCAGCGTCTCTAAGCCACCCACCTAAAGTCCACTGCACCGATCTGGTACCTTCTGGTTTGATTGTGAAATATCACTCATGGGTATTATCTCGATCCCAACGCACTAGACATACTCTAGTAGCCTAATTTGCTTATCCTCAAATGAAGTCACTACTAGTGGATGTTCAACCTTTTGATATATGGAGCTAGGCCTTAGACCGGTAGTCACTATTCATTTGCCGGACTGTAAGATCAAAAGTGCAATATGGGTAAGAGGGGTCGCCTTCTTCGCCAATGCCTATCCACCCTAGTCAAATATTCCGAAAAAGCATGAATGCCAATATTACGGCTTACAGAGGTAAAATCATAAGAGTCAAAAATCTTAACATAGCACTGGCGGAAGTGAAAAGCCACTTATCGAGAGAAAAATAGAATCTATCGGCTGTATGTATTGAGGCTTGCGTTCAGGATCGGGGTGCAATAACCCAGCCACCGGTTCTCTATGTACTCAAAATACCGTACTATCTACTCGTATTGCGCTGACGTTTGTGGACGCGACTGATATTGCATGCCATACAAAAATACGCCAAGCTCATGATTTTGGGTGTATGCAATAATGGCCCAGTTCAAAAACGTCAGCACAATACGAGTAAGTAAATTCGACTCGCTGTAACAGGGGCAAATATGCGTTAATTCTCGCTTTGCTGAGTTGCTTATCTTCTTTCACTTAATGTTACATTTAGTTATTAAACTGTGATATCATGGAGTGGGGGGGTGTTGGTTCCCTGCCCTTGTTGAAAGGGCGGTTTTGGTGTGTTTTGCCAAGCCAGGAACCATGCCTGAAGTTCGAGTACCTGCAGGCTGCATATCAGACAGACATACCTTAGATCTCAATCTATTGGTTCGCTAATCTCGTGCGAACGAGCCACCGGGGCTACACTCCCGAAATTCTAGTACTAGCAAAGTGATCGGCAGCAGATTAAGCTAGATAAGCATGTTTCAATTCAGCTTAGAATTAGCTACCACTTCTGAAAGAATGTCACGATCTGCTGAAAGCTCATCAAGCGAAGCATTGTTTCCGACAACTCCCCACAACTCACCCGCTCGGTCACTTCGGTCTTATCGCAGCCTTTTCGGTTTTGGTGCAGGGAACATGCTAAAAGATAGTTCATGTTCACGGCTGTTTAGAAGTATTTCCCCGCGAGGTTTTCTGAAGCGGGATCTCTGTGACGAGGAAAGACGAATCAGAGGCCAGAGAAACAGACATGGCGGATTTCTCAGAAGATCGGCAAGGAGAGGTGCGGGGAACTAAACTAACTCTGGACTAGGACAAGAGACCATACCCCTCTCCACTTCAATGTGCTGGTGTTTTTATTCTGTGCGGTGCTGAAATCCGCCTTCCGATAAGGTCAATTCCCTACTCCGATTGGCGAAACCGAAGCCTCTTGGAAGGACCCTATCCAAATCTGTTCTCCGAGAAGTTTTCAAACATATCTTATCACTCGGTTTCAACAGGTTTCGTAACAGGAACCGTATAACACCCCATCCGCCTTCACCGTTGTAAAGTGATTCCCGGTCTCGATTATTAGTGAAAGTTAACAAAATTCTGGACTACCTGCCCCCCTCACTAAACTCTCTGTAAAGATAGGTGCATTACAGGCAGTTAGACAGAGTAGGATAGGTATTCCTAGGACACACACTACTCTGCACCCTTTTCTCTTCGTAATACCGCCATAACTCGAAAAATTGGCTAGCTTCCAGAGATCAAAATTACTTGTATGGGAAACTTCTGATGCAGATTGATGCCATTCAACCAATCACTCGAGTGATAATCCCTGGCCGGAAATAGCCAATTTTTCGAGTTTTGGCGGTATTCTATCTGCGCATGACAGATTAGCGAGACAAGGGAAAATCCTGCTAGTACTAGAAGCCTCCCCCCCGGGGGGGGGTGGCTACAGGCCCGGGGCGAATTGTTTATGATTAATGCTTGGATTATTAATGATAACTGGATATGGGATACTAGTGTCGCTCCCTGATGGTGGGCACGGCAGTCGTTCTGCTGCTAGTTCGTGGGGTGAAAAAATACGTCAGTTCAGTCTTGTTTATAATGCCTAAAGCTTGTCAGAACCATCCGTGTAACCTACCACCCCCTCACCGCATAACTACCCCTTTTAGTGTGAGATCTACCACCAGTTCCCGAGTACCTTATATTTTGGAGCTGAAAAAATCCCCTACCAACTAGCGCTACCGGAGCGAACATCAGTTTTTCTTTTTTCTTTTCCTTTTTTGTCACGCATTGCTCCATTAGATACATACATGTAGTTACGTCTCTTACCCTATAAAATCTCAACTATTCTGAGAAAACCGTGTGCGTCGATCGGCGGAAGTAAGGTTTCACAAATAATACAAATGTATCTACTAGAATACACTTTTTCTTAATTCGTTGCGGTCTGATTGGTCGACACCGACATGGGTGTTTAGTAAGCATGACACATCAAAGTACTGAACACTCGAGAGGAGGAGGACGGGGGCCGAAGGCCTCTCATAATTCTAGAGGGAGAATTAAACAGAGGAGGTGGAATGGGGGGGCCGAAGGCCCCCATCGAAGGCCTTCCATAATTATTTGATACCCATAATCCAATAACTCGCGGTCGCGAGTTGGCACACCCCTAGTTTAGCGTACTACAGAGTGTGGGGTTAAAACCTAAGCTACTATTTTAGAAACTAATTCTTGTAATACAAAGATTTATTGTAGCTTCAAAGTATATGCGGAAAGCAGCATTCCATAGTATCAAGAGTTTTGAAGGAAAATGTTTGGGATGAGCTAAGTTCTATTGTTGATGCTCCCACCCATCTTACAGGCAAAAAGCCGAGAAACAATGAGGTGTATCGTATCATAAAAGCGGTAAATTATATTAGAAGTACTTGGGGTGGCATAATTGAAACCCCGTAAAAGTCTAGGAGAGAGTACTCAAGTACTACCTACACACTCAACATCTAAGGATAAGAGACTGCGCCCTAGACAGTCCACAACCTTTGGAAGATTGAGACCACGTCCCTTTGCCCGCAAACAGATGCCCGAAATGTCATTCCAGATAAAAAACTCCTCCTCCTCTCCCTTCGTGCTTTGGATAATGAAGTTGCCTTCGTTGTCCGTAATGACGGGGCGGGGGTGGCCGTATCCGCGGCCTTCGATGATAGCACAGACGCCTTCACCGGGCTGAAAGTAGGACCCCACGTTGAGGTGTTCCCGTTCGTTTGACCAGCCGTCGGGAACCGGTATGCCCTTGTTTTCCAGGTTGACGTAGGTGTTGTCTATAGGGCCCTCGCGTGGGAGGGGCTTGAGATTGCACCGAGCATTAATTTAGAGTATTCCGGTGTAAAGTAGATGGGAATGAGAAGCTCAGCTGTCTAGGAAGCTACGTACCCGGATAATGTCACCTCCGGGATCTCGTGGTGACATAGTTGATGTGTTTGGGAACTGGGCGGATAGGAAGGGCTAGGTTTCGGTATGATAGCCAGCCGCTGGGTGGGCCAAAACTGTAAACCGTTGACTGCGGCTTTGTGGGAGTTGACGGTATGAGTAATGTTTGAAGTTAGATGTTTCACGGGGCACCTTTTGTGCGGGAATGGCGTTCTCAAAAATATGCAGAAGATGGGTACTGTGTATCCCGTGCCACTGTCTACTTTCAACCTCAAAGTGACCGCAACTGTAAGCTTGGCACCGATCTATGGAGCCTATTTCTCTTGCATTTTGAAATAAGATCGACAACGCCAATCATGAGTCTATTTCTGCTCGCGTCAGGGAAAAAGAACCAGAACATGCAAGTGAGAAAGCAGGCATTATTTGTATGGAGTGGCGCTGCCATACAAACTAGGCATTTGCATGTTCTGGTTCTTTATCCTAGACGCGAGTAGAATGGCCACCCGCTGGTAGGTGCTTTTGGAATCACCTCAGCAGTAAATATACCGCTGTATTTGAGAAAATTTGTTGCGCTGCAGCAGGGGACTTCTCTGCTAAATCTTGCATATTGACGTCTAAATACCGCCTCTGGTTGACTCATACCCCTGCTGCAGCGCAACGAATTTTCTCAGCGTTTTAGCTTTGCCAGTTGAACAGAAAGTTGGACAGGTTGGACAGAAATTCTAACTATTTTAGGCAAAGACTTGCAAGGATTCAGCCAATAAGAGGCGCAGGGCTTTCTGTCCAGGCGCTCGACTTTCTGTTCTTTATTCTTTGTCCGAGTGCTATCTTTTCCACCAACAGGGGATCTTGTTGGTCATCTGCCATGTTGCCAAGTAGTGTTGGGCACGAGCCTGTTCGAGACGAGCTTGAGTTAGAGCTCGGGTTAGCTCGGATTGTGCAAACGAAGGCTTGGGATGTTCGAGCTCCAATTAAAGAGCTAAAAATAGTCATCTCGATATAAGTTTCACTTTTAGGGACGAACGCAAGAGGTTTATCTTCGTTATATTTTCCAATTTTGCCAGCCCAAAAAGCTCGAGTCTTTCTAATACTAGTTCGAGCTGGCTTGCGGTCGTAAGAAGGAGAGCTTGAGGTGTTCGAGCCAGCTCGGCTCGTGCCCAACAATATTGCCAAGGTTCTATGGTTCCTACCCTAATTCATCTTAGACGGACAAGTCGATAGCTAGCAGATCGCAAGAATTTTTTTTTTTTGAGCTGAGTTGCGCTGAACACAATTGAGTGGGGTAGCCGGTCAAGAAGAGGTTCACTTGTAGCATTTGATTAGGGGTAAGAATATTCTATCTTTTGTGGCGTGGGTTAGGGTTTGCACTTCGCTATCTTACAAGTACAAACACTGCCCACATTTCGGGCAACAGTCTCCACAGGAACTATACCAATGCCTTTTCCTGACCTTTTCGGAGGTAACCCTCCACCCGCGGAGATCTTCGAATCTACAGCGGCTGAGGTATGAAGGCAGCACCTTGTTTCGTCCGTAAACGAGACAATACAAACTCCCTCCTCCTACCTACGCGACTCTGCGGGATGATTTATTACCGTACTAAATAATCATAAAAACTAGACTATCGATCTCGTTCGGCGAATCATAAACCAACCGGGCCTTGTTGGCCTTCCAGCAGGTCCTAGCTATGATTTGGCTAAATTTTTTCCTACGGCTACAGAGTAAACCCCCCCTAGCATGGAAATCTATATTTTATAATTCACCTGCTAATTTTATACACTGTTTTTTTTCAAAGACAGCTCGGAGTTCCGACACCTGCGGATGCAGTTTTCTTGGATCCTGCGACGGAGGTACTGGATGCTGGTAGCGCCCTGGGTTACCTATTTTCAGCATTGCCAGAATTAAAAGGGGCGACAGTAGACATGGAGCAAAAGCTTATTCCAGTGTTGCTTTTGTATTGTCAGATCCTGAAAACTCTTGTAGAAGCCGCGGCCGGTGACATGAAACTCGGGATGACGGCAGTGATCTTTCGGAAGCAACCGTATACCTACTTCGTTGGAGCAACAATACCTACTTTGGGTATACCGGATGAGGAAGAGAGGCTTACGGCCAAGAATGTTATTCAAGCATTCCGCTTCGGCTTGCTCCTTCGAGCTTATACTGAAGCAGGCATATCGTTGCCGCCGATGCCACCAATACTTGAAGTCGAGTTGGTCAAGTACATGATCGAAATATACCCCACAAAACGGTTCGGCATTGACCCTAACGCACTACCGGCGGTGCCGAAAGACGAGAAATTGTTGTACCTTGGCTGGCTTTACCTGCAGCTTCTCCGGTTATTAGTTGGGGAGTGTAACGGAACCCGCCCAATAGTGTTAAAAAAAAGAGCTAATCTGGATCTTGGAGAATTTGATGAATGGAGAAAAAGAATTGTCTCAGTGATTATCAGCGGACCGGAGCCGCTTTCAGATCCACATACAGAATCAGTGCTTAACAATACAAGCCCGAGCCAAGATCTACCCCCCAATCTAGATCTAGCTATAGAGCTAGAACCAGTCGTTGCCGCCAGTATGGAAGAGGTGATTTTTGCTGCCTTGAATCCTGATGACCTTCTGTTGGTGGTGAACCAGAGAGCGGAGTCTTACGGTGGCCAGCTATATGGGCACTGTGCTGAAACATATCCCGTGCTTCACATACTCAGGTTGTCCACAGCGTGCGCCCTAACTATCATGCTGGAACATAAGGCTAACTACGGCTTCCGGTAGCAAATTAGTGAGCCATATCTTACGGATAGTAGCAATCACGAAGGGCTTGCCATTAGAGGAGTTGGCTTGACGGATATCATCAAAAATATCAAAAACGGGGGCGCATTAAATGCGAAGTCAAAGAAGGCCTTTGCAGAGCCATGTGTAAACTGCCGAAGTCTTATCAAAAGGATGGGGATAGATGAAGTTCCATACAACAGATATATCGGAATAAAGAAGCCCAAAAACCCATTGGTGGATTACGCAGTGAGCACCCCCGAGTCTTTTTACCTCTTTTTTTTTCTTCTTCTTCCGCGGGCCTAGGCTTAACATGATCTTGTTCGCGCACAGGTTGGAGTAAAAACAGGCTGGGAATCGTGAATCGCAGTTGATGAATCTCTTTTGTGTGGGAGGAGACTATATATGTTTTACAGTGATAGTATGAAAAATTAGAGAGTATTAAGCGGGTACTTATGTACGTCCAAATGTACCAGGGAAGAATTTCCTAAGTTGTAGTTTGATTTCAGAAGGTACTCGTACCCCAGTCCCTTGTTTTGTACCCTTGGTGTAGTGTCTGAATACTGGAAAAGGAGGGGGACTGAAGTATGCTGAATGTATGTAATCAACTTGATACTTTATTGATTACTGTAATGATGATTATCCTAAGAGGAATGCCCCTCGCTCCTCTTCATCTACTCTAAATACAAACCACGTTCACCACATGTGATCTCGTGTCTTTCTTGGCATACCCCACAATCATACTAGTACTCATTACACTAATCACTGCTCTTGGTCCTTTTGCTCTCCGTTTGCACTCGCCTTACTACCCCTACAGGGACCAATGAAACATGCCTTTCTAGTGTAGTCTCGGTTGCCAAGCTATGCCAAGCCCTCACCGATTAAAACCCCGCCAGTTCACATCTCAGCGGTTTAGGGAGTCACCAGTACTCCCAGTCCGACTGCAATCAACTGTAGTTGACTGCGCCAAGTGGAAAGGTAGGACGGACTGTTTGGTCTGTAAGACTGCGGTCGACTGTGGCCGTGCGGCCAAGACAGTCCGTCCAAAAGTTGGACGGACTGATGGACCGTGGACTGCATAAGAACCAAAAGCAGTTTAGTTATTCTCAGAATGGAACGCAACAAAGATCATAATCTTGGTTAAACGACCTGAGCAAACCAAACCTGAAATAAATTACATCATCATCAGTCCATAGTCGGCTATGGTCGAAATTTTGGTCTGCCCTAGTCTACAATCCGCTGCAGGCTTGTGGATTCCTCCTTGGTCCGTCTAAGACTGGACCTGAAGGTGTTGGCGGGGAGAGTGAGATTTCAGCTTCTGCATGCTGATCACTGTCGGTCACTCGTGAATATGTAATGATCAACCACCCAGCCAGCTACTGCCCGCGTTGAACCCACGAAAAGAGCTGAATCCTAGACAACTGCTGCTCTCCCGTGCTCAGAGGATCCATGCTCTACGTGGGGGCATGCATCAGTCCTGTTTGGGAATAGTGGCTTCAACGGAAGAAGCTCTGATTGGCGGCCTCTGCGCCTCCGTCGGGATCTTTGAATATTTACAGCTGAGACCGAAGGCGGGGAAAATCGCCTGGGGGCGTTTATTTGTATGTAGTATCAAGGGTCCCGTGAGATACTCGAGAACGTGTTTAAAACAGGGCAAAATACTCGAGCTGTTGGATCTGGTGTTTATAACTGCATGATACTCCGGATGACATAAGCCAAAAAATGCGGGTGTCTCTTCAACAGTCCACTAGAAAGTTGTATATGCCCTTGTCTGCAAATGTGCCAGTGGGAACGGACTTGTGTTTCTCGCCCTCTTCCTATGTTATTGCTTGAATAACCCTAACCCTGCCACAGTATCTTACTCCCTCTCAACTGGACATGAGTTTATAATCGGTTTATAACTCCCAGTATCTTACCCTTGTATATTTCACGGGACCCTAGTAGTATCGCATAGAATATTGGTGTGTGCCCCCATGTGAGACCGCGGGTGGCCGCTCGGAGGCAAGGTTGAGAACCATTGAGTGCATGGTGCTGGAACTGGGTGAGGTGAGCTTTGTCCCGGGGGTGAGGGGTCATCCGTCTTTGGGATACTAGGCATGTAGCTAGCTAGTCGTTGGTTTTTATGGAACTCTATGTGACACTAGAGGTAGCATGTTGTCTAGTATTGCTGGCAGTCATCAATTTCATTTTATCACCTAAGTGAAGTTTAGGTTTTTGGATCGACTATACTTGTCATGATGAAGTTGCCTGGCTTGTGAGAATGAACGGAGACGGCAATTCATCATAGGATATCACTCGTCGCACATGTCAACCCGCACACCCCTCGGCCTTTCAAGACAGCATTCCCTCGCAAGTGTTACTAGGGATAGACTTCTCGCAAGCCCTCGTGGTAAGAAACAAGGCACCAATTGCCCAACCCCCCTCAGCCTCCCCCCCACCCCCACCCCCACCCCCCACCCCCCCGCCCCCCCTGGGTCGAAACCTGCTTTTCAGCTGTTGATGACCGTTGCTGGCTATAACTTGCACTTGCATCTAAACATATGTATATATAGTATTCTTGCATTTTTCATCTCTTTAAAGCTGTTTCTGTCATTGGGGAGCTGGGTAATTCTTTATAAATACATCGCTCACATTCTCTACTACACCCAGCCCCGCATCATCTTAGAACATCTCCCAAACATTATCCATCTATGGCGTTGATCTCCAAGAAGAAGGTGCTAGACTTGACTAGAACCAATGTTCTTCCTCCGTACGAAATAGAGGTGAGCGAGGACGTAGCGATGACACAAGCGCCCGGAAGCCCCGCGAGGAGCATACAGATGGATAGTCCCTTCGTCGAGGAAAATTCGTTACAGGTTCTGTCTACGTTCAGCACTTTATTTGAATTATCCCTTGGTGCGGATTTGAACAATGATCTGGATAAATTCTCGCCCTCGTATCAGCCCCTTCACTTTGACGATTCATCCCTAACCCTCCCGAGGCGGGACTTGGGTTCTCTTGAAGGTTTGCTGCCTCACTCCCTCTACACTCCCCCTGCCTTTTCACAATTTACTGCTAATGGGTTACGCCGTAATACTTATCCCAAGTTTAGAGATAGGGGTAGACGTATGAATTATCCTCGCCGCCATTTTGCTCAAGACTGACCGGTATAAGTTTGGGGAGGAAAGATCCCTACGCACCGTCAACGCGGCCAACGATATACGTGTTGCCCTACATCAACGATTCCTCGAGCTCGGCGAAGCTATCAAAAAAAACCAACAAATGTACAAAAAGATAGAGAGGCAACTATTTGCCAATCCCGATCGAGTCCATCCCAGGATTCTCCAGGCTGCATTATCGGAAGTTGGGAGGATGTTGTTCGAGAATGAGCAGATACAACAGGTGGGAGAGGATTTTAAGGAACAAATAGATGAGATCATGAAGAAAATGTCTTACGAGCTTTTGGCAGCGGTTCTGGATTATTCACAACAGGAAGGGGTTAATCTAGGGCACAAGCTACCATATAACGAACTTGATCCAGAATATAAGAAACTATCCGAAGAGTTCAAGGAGGCTAAGAAACAGATCGAGACTCTTGGACCTCGTTTGAATGAGCTCCAGACCGAAAATCAGAGGCTCAAGAACAGTGTTATGGAAAACCATGATATGATTTCGGAGTATAATACCAGCATAGCACGGCTGAAGGCGGACAAAGGACTTCTTGAACTTCAAATCCAGGTAAGAGGAACGACTTGTACAGAGCTAAAAGAGACATTCAGGGGATTGCCAACGAAACCGGCGTGCATATTAAGACACTGACGGCGCAATACGATGTAGAACAACACCATAAGGCATCAAGAGCTTGAGGAATTGACAAAAGAGCTGGAAGGAGAGCTTGGGAGAACCAAAGCGGGGGTTAAACCCCTTGAAGAAGCCAACAAAAATCTTACTGAGGAAAATACAAAATTAAAAGAAGGGTTGTCCCAAGACGCTGCTACCACAGAAGCCCTCGAGCGGAGCGAGGAACGTTATCGAGCCCTCGAAAAGATACTCCGCGACTGCCAAGCAGAGGTAGTTGCACTGCGCCAGCGCATTACCCTGCTCGGTATTGCCCCTCCACCTCCCCCACCTCTCACCGCCCTAAATTAACATCCTTCCAACAGATCCCAACAGCGCTGAACGCCCACTCCCACCAACTACAGCACTTAAGTTCACGTTCAACCCCGCCTCCCTTATCACCACCACCATTACACTCACCGACTCAACTAATCCGCACTCTCTCTTTCACAACGGAAGTCGCTGGATCGACATCGCCCCCGACGACTTAGCCTTCAGGTCTGGCACGCATACCGTCCAGCGAGATCATCGGAATAACCCGCCACCAACCCACAGCATTAAACGTGTTAAATTCAGTGCCCCGTTCACGGCGGAGCCAACAGTAGTGGTGTGGTTGACTGCTGCGCAAATGAGCCTAGACCGGAGGTGGAGGTTGAAGACGTTTGCGACTTCGATTACGAAAGAGGGATTTGACTTGCATATTGAGAGTTGGGCGGATTCATATTTGGTTAGTGCTGGGGCGAGTTGGGTTGCATATTTGAAGGAGGGTGTGATAACAGGGGAGTTCAAGGCGGCAGAGAAAGGCGGGTGGAAGATTGCTATGGGGGAGAAATTTGGGGTAGTGAGGTGGCCTGGGCAGTTTGCGGAGGAGCCGATGGTGCTGCTTGGTGTAGCGAAAATCGAGTGTGATGTGGAGGCTGAGATAGGGGTGATGGTAGGGGGTAATGCGGGGAAGGAAGATATGCAGTGGATTGTTACTGCAAAGCCAGAGGGCGGGAGGGTGTTTACGGTCGGAGGTGTTTATCTGGCTATGGAGGCCGTAGAATGAAGAGTATATTGTGAAGGATTTTATCGACAGAAATTGCTTATATGTATTGATGCGCATTTTTATCGAATTTGTTGCTTACTTCACGTCTTGATGCTATGAGTAGCTTCGCAAATATTTTATGCTTCAATATTCCTGGGTTGTGGAGGTCAATGGTTTGGTTGACCAATGAGAACAGTGATGCATTGGCATTATTATGGTAGATGTGCGTATAGGAAGTTTAGATATATTCGAGGGACTCAACTCGGTGTTCGCGATGAGGAGGTCCATCCACTCTGAACCCAATGAGAAGACAGCTTACCATTCTTGGCCCATTTTATCCCCATTCTATTCTAGGAAGATACTGTTGAAGTGGTTTCCACACATTTGTATTCACCTAATCGAATAACTGAGGACAGGGAGACGGACTACACTAGCTCAAAAATAACGTCTAGCTTGGGAGTATAAGGGTTAGGTAGAGTGAGTTGGAGTATCCAGAACTTTGTCCACAGGTACGGGTGCACGCAAAATCAACTTTCACGAAAGGTAAAGGGAGTTTGTTGAGTCTGTGTAGGTCCCTGGGATGATTGCCATCTGCAGAGCCGCCCCTTAATCCCAGTTGTCACCACCCTGTCTCCACAGATGTAGCCCTACATTCACATCTGCGCCCGATTATTGGCCGATTTCTCTCTTCAATGCATTGCCGTATTTAAAAAACCATCAATTCACGCGATCGGTTGTTAATTAGGTCAAGGCATCAACATCTGCACTTCCAACAATTGCAACCCTCTCATCTCTATTGAACTTTCTTTTCCTTACCAACAGCAATCCTGCAAACCAGTCTAAATGGGTCACGATTCTTACCCATCGCATCTCCCGACCTGTTGTTTCCCCTCTCAGGAGTCCCCGCTGGTCCCGACCAAGATGACGACACCAGAAGTAACACCCCCATTCGCTCCCATCTGACCCCGACATGGTGACGGGTCTACAGACTCCGTTATCTAGTCTCCACGTCCGCTCTCCCTTCCACAAACCCCATCTCTAGATATCTCCGACGAAGACTCTCTGTGGCAGGACCAATAGCGTTAGTACCAATTTCCGTATCCCTGACGCGGAGAAGGGTAGACGAGCACTTGGCACAGGAATCGGACCGGGCGTAGATACGACACATTGGTAAGTGTGAGGAAGCTTGCGCATGGGTGGGTTCTGGGGCTGTCATGGGGCTAGCTGGACAACCCCAACCCTGGTCTCTTGACCTCCTCTCTGGCTTTATATTTACTTTGCGAACCTTTTGCCCTCACTTTAGAGATTTTCTAATTTTCATTTAATACTATTATCTATCACACACCGCACATTGTATATTCCTAGTTACTTCAGTTCTAACTTACCCGTACCCCCCCCGCCAGTGTCGTATTCCCCTTCGGCTCTTGCAAGGCACCCGCCCCCGCCGGAATGATTGATGACGGGTTTTTTAGATTGAGAGAGACGAAGGGCAGCATGGTATCTAGATGAGATTTTACAATGAAAGACTCTTCCCCGCATACCGAGGACGGCGGGGGATATGTGCTGCTGTTCGCCTTCTACAGAGGAGTATTGCGAGAATGGCTAAAGCGGTTTATGTAGAGTAGTAGTGGCATAGCGGAAGTGTTTTTGGTAGGGGGGTGGGTGTGGTTGAGGTGGAGGCAGGAGGAAGACAAGAGAGGAGGGGCTAGTCCAGCGGGATGATCAGTTGTTCTCGGTGGCGGCTTCCTGCTTAGTTTCGGGGGCTGTTTGGAATCGTGTACTGCGAGTACTGGGGTAGGAAGTAGGAGAAATACGTAAAGCAGGTTCATAGATTGAATAAGACATTCCGTGACTGGTGCGTAGTCGGGGGTAGAGGATTACCTCTTGCGATATAGCAATGGGGTAAACGGCGCCCGATGGAAATCGTTAACAGAATAGAACTAAAGAACTACACACCTTGGAAAAATAGAATAGTTATAAGGATTTCGGTCCGGGAGATGTTTCTGTCTTCAGGAGTTGCTGTGGCTACCGCCTTTTCGGGGGTGCTAAGATGTAACAACGCACCACTTGAATACCCTTTGCCAAGTATTTACATAAATTCTAACGTTCAGCCCTAATTCTATCTAAACCGGGCTTTGATAACTAATATCTTTGGTCAGGGTTGGTTCGTCTGCTATTATTGCAATATTGAGTGGTAGAGGAGGATCATTGACTATCACTCGGTAGCCCAGGTCATCTGAGTGTTGTGAGTTTCCCAGTACTGAGCTCTTTTTGTTTCTTTTTTCTTTTAATTCATTAATCGCATGCAACCCTAAAGTTATAGCAATATCGCACTGCTCCAGAATGCCACTCTATCTACCAGTATCCCAACAAAGAAAAACTAGCAAGGAACAATCTGTGCCTTCCTCGTCACTATCTCTTTCCTTAAGTTCCATATTTTCTGCTTCTCAATGATATCCTTCCCTATTTAGTGCTCACTTACTCTTATTCTTGACACATTGAGTTACGTATACAAAGATCCTAAACGAATAATTCATAGTTAGACAATTAATACCCAATTAAATTTTGTCTAACGAGGCAGTTTCAGGACGGTTATGACTCGAGATATGTTTAGATCAACATTGATCGAGGGCAGGATGGACGTGAATAGGAACAGGGTAACTTTTGGGGCAGGCGGAACATGGGAGTGGCTTCACTTTGGGAACTTGTTTGTACAAATATTTATTGAGAATCCCTTTGGTATTATGTCATATCAAGGGGAAAACAGAACTAGGATCATGTAACCGAGAAAAATAATAGTATCGTTCCAGAAATATAAGAAGGAATAAAAACTTTCCTTGAAGAATAAAGTAAGAGGAGTTCAAGAAGTGAGGGCGAAGCTTCCACTATAAACACATAAAATCCAGATGACTAATATATTTGGTTGATACCCAGAAAATTTTCAAGAACGTAATAGAAATCCGATTTCGAATGTTGACACTTTTTTTCACAAACTAAATTCAAACTGGCTATCGCTGACATTCATACCGTAGCAACATTTTTAACTGCGCAATATACTGGAATTCAAAAGTGGTACGGATCTATTACTTGTTAAAAGGTTTCTGGAAATTCTCAGTTGGTAAGCGTAGGGGGGGTGGTCGGAACATAATAGTAGTGTAAAAAATCATGGACGAGATATAGGGTATGTGGCTGAGGGACATCAAATGGGCTCATATGAAGACAGGGAGAACAGCAAGGTCAGCAAGGGCATAAGCGACAGAGAATGTATCGAGGATGCCAAGGGACCTGTAGGGGACGGCGATGGTAGCAAGAACCATAATAATAGCGATAAGAAAGAAGACAGTTATTATGAACAGCAGACAAAACATGGCTTTTGATAACGTGTATATTGAAACGAAGTGAATTCCTCAAAAGAGTAATTCTTTCTCAGTCATCCATTTGATGAAAGTATTAGTATTTTATTTCTGGTTCATAAAGGGTAGGAGTGTAAGATTCTCATTGAAAAAGGGATTGTAACTACAGTTAATCAAGTACAGGGATACCTGAATGGGTTCAGAGACTCGGATGGTGTGATTGACGGTGAATTGAATAATAGGTTAGCAGTCTACTCAGTCATCCTGTTGGATGGAAACGTAACTGCGGAAGTATTGGTACAGCGCCATGTTGTAAATGATCATACGGCGTGAGGTCGCAATGCCGCAACGCCTGACTGCAATGCCTGACCACAAGTTTTTTCCACAATCACCGATGGCGCCCAGAGACAGTATACTCCGTGGTCTTATAACTATGAGGTTTGGAAAGGTATACACCACAACCTTTATAACTCAGCGGTTGGAGGAATGTGGGGTAGATGTTCTGGAGGACTAGCTTGCTTATTCCCCTGACTTAAATCGCATTGAACATGTTTGAGTACATCTCAAGAAGCTTTACCATCAACACTACCCCTATTTGGGATATGATACTAGATTACCTTAAGTATTGAAGCCCCTCGTGGAGGAAGGTCTAATTCAATACTGGGAACTGTTACCTGATGATTTATTCTCTAGAGATTTGGTAGCTAGTTGAGAGCATGCCTAGGAGAATAGAGGTGTTAGAAAGGCAAGGGGTTGGTATACAAAATATTAAATGTCTAATTATTTTATTTAGCTACTATTTAACAATTATACAAAAATCCAGCTCTCCAAAGGATCAATTGTGGTTGCTGGGTGGGTAGTCATGATGGGGTTTGAGGTGTCGAAACCCGTTGCTACACCGCCCCATACAATAATTTATGACCCAGAACTATACCTGTCTGTTTTGGCTCATTCCGTTTGTCCAACAGTTTCAGGGTAAACTATAGATTACATTATAGCGATTATCTTCAAGCACTAGCAAAGGTACTTTCAGAATATTAGGGTAAACTGAATATTTCGATCAGAGAAAATAATAGTAGAGAGACTACAGAGTTTCTAAATGTGATCGATGTATAGGTGGTCCGAGTTTTTGCATTCGGTTGTAGTATTACGGGCAATGTAGTATTTCATTTTGACTAGTCGATCGATGAAAACCAATATAGCATCTTGTTTGGGGAAGTTGGCCAATACTAATTTGTAATTTTATAAAATTTAAACTTGGAATTTTGTAGACTTGATTTTCTTGCCTTAGTGATTGATAACATCCTTAAGCTGAAGGAGAATCCTGTACTATCTATAAATGTTCAAATCTATACTCAGGCTCATTCTTTGATACTAACTGATACCATGATAATAAAATGATAGAACGACCTGAAGATAACGGAGACAGAAAACCGCCTCTAAATAGTCCCATCCTCTTTTCTAATTCCAATACATAATCATGAACCTTGCAATTGCCAGTCATTGAGCTGTACCATACTATTGTCTTATCCCCACTTTCCTAAATAAATTGCCTGCAGCCATAAGCTCATCTATTATTTTATTCTAGGTGAGACACGCAATGGTAAACATGCTACCACAATAGTCTTATACTAGTACTATGGTAGCACCAAGTACCTCCCACACTAC